TAAAATTTTTAGTTTTAAGCACTGACTAACAGTTGTTTTAAGAACTAAATTTTCGCATTTCTTGAAATTGTGTGTTGAAAATATGCTGAAGCATTTAAATAGTGGAAGCATAGAGCTTAATTATAGCTTTCCTGATAAACTATTTTGAACGAGAACGCGACAATAAAGGTCCTTATTTCCTTATTACCCTTGATTGCAGTCAGAGAAGTATGTTTGATCGGTAAGCCACTATACCACTTTCAAAGTTATTTCTACTTATATTGATTTGTAGGGAGTAACTGCTACCTTTAAATTTTTACTGTGAGTGTTGGTGACTACTGTTAATAATTAAATTAATTACTAATAAATCTCATAAATCCATCACAATCTGGCAGCGCTGTCGCCATCTCTTGTCACTCAAAGTTGATCACGTGCATCGAAAATTGTTTTGCGATTACTTTATAAAATAATATATCGAAATTAAATAAATGATGTTATATTTTTTTAATCGGTACCGGACGGTATGGCAAAAAAAACTATATCGGGTCCTGTAATAGTGCGTCGACCTTCTATAGATCCTCTAATAAAGAACTTGGACATGTGTAGTTAAAGCAACGTACAGCAAGGCAAAACCTGTGCATAATGTAGAGCCTAGCACGCATCTACATTACAGGAGCCATGAGAACCTGTCCAGCAGCAGCAATGGAGGCATTCTAGACTAAGTTTCCACTCCTCCAACCAGGGGCGGATACAGGAATTTATTTTAGGGGGGGGGGCCCAAAATAAAAAGCAATGTAGATTATGCTTTTTAGGACGCCATTTTTAACCCCAAAGCCTAATATTTTACACAATTCACAGACTTTAGGGGGGGCCCAGGCCCCATGGGCCCTCCCCCTGTATCCGCCACTGCCTCCAACTGCCAGTGGATGACATACAAAGAATGTGCAACTTTGAGAAACACCTTAAAAAAATCGTATTTTAAATTTCAATCTAGAGTGCCATGGCTGTGTTAAAAACACTAACTTTTAATCAAGCAGCCTGGGAAAAATAGATTTGATTGTCTAATGTTTTTCGTGTCTTGTTCTGGTCGGTTAAAAGGTGCCCAAATCGTATTTTTAATCATATCTCAATTTTTTCAAAAGGGACGAGGGTGGTTCATTAGCATATTTGGAAAAAGCATTTTCTTACGAATAATTTGCTACCACACACTTTTGGTATTTCGAGTCAAATTGTCGTTAAAACTGCATGTTACAATTTCAAATAAACCATATATGCAAAAATGTCAAAAGTTGACATATGATATGTCATTCTATTCAGAGTGTCATTTTCTATCGAATATAAAGTAAAAAAATACCGAGGGTGTCATTTAAAAATCAAAATTTGTAGTCATTTCCGGTGAAACAGGATGTGACCAAAAACGATTGAGTACGTCAATCAATCCTAATTTATGTCATATACTAATATACCAAATCTCGTTTTTTATCTGAAAAAAAAAGTTATAGGGGAGGAGCCACTTTTGAAACGCACCCGGTAAATTCTCCCACTTTTTCTCACTGCCTCTAAAATCATTCCAGCCAATCAAAAAGGGCGACAATTTGAAAACTGCGCTTGTCCCAGCAAGATCACCCCAGCATCCCTCTGGATTCCTGCAGGAGGGTGGAAATTATTTTAGCCCCTCCCACATGAGAAATTTGAAATAAGATTTACTCACACAAAGTATTTTTAGCCGACCATACCAACAGGTATGGTGGGCTATTAAGATAAGGCAAAAAAGAGTTTTTTTATTTTCACTCAAAATGCGTTATTTGACTCATAAATGACCTAAATACAAAATATTTTCATGGTGTCTGTCTGTGTGTCTGTCCGTCTGTCTGTAACACGATAACTCAAAAACCGCTAAACCGATTTTAACCAAATTTGGCACAAAAATACCGTGGCACCCGAGAATCTGGCTATTAGTTTTTAGTGGGGGTGGGGGTTGGTCAGGGGGTATGGGAGGGGGTTAAAAATTTTAAAAAATCGTAACTCCAAAATTAGAGTAGCTAGCAAAACGCGGTTTTCAATTTATGATTAGGAATAATATTTGCAACAAAATTTGTAATAACATCAAAGTCAGTCAAAGTCGCAGTTTTTGAGATATTCCGTGTTTCCGTAGTCCGTTTTTGAGAAAATCCGTGTGGAGAACTCCAAACTCCCATCAGACGCGACCCCAGGTGGCGGATAGGGGAAATAACCGCGGACCAAAATTGGAAAAATTCCTTTACTTTCAGACTAAAAGAACTGCCTACCAACTTTTTATTAACATATTTTAGTATGGGCGGCTATACGCAAGGACTGTATATATTCTAAAGGACTGTTCGACCGCGTCAAATCGCCGCGCCGCTGTCGTAGTCGCCGTGGAACGCTACGTCACGCGCTGACCAGCGCTCCACAGTGCGGCGGATGGTTATTCTAGCGGGACAAAATCTCAAGAGCAATGTTTGGGACTTAAAATCTAAGAACATAGCAAATGGTCTAATATATAGCAACTATATGGTTAAATTTATTTATTTATTAAGAACTTAATTTATTAATAAATAAATATAAGATAATAAAACTAGGATATTATTCGTACATGACACACAAAAACCGTATTGTAAACTATTGCCAAATACATAAAATTATGATATACTTACAAAAAACTCTTTAGCAGCTATTTTTTAATTACTTTGTAATCTTGTGACACCCTCTATATTTTATTTTAAAAAATTATATTTTATTTTAAAAATATTAATTAAGATAGATATATTTTAATTTTAATTTTAACACTCGGTAATTGTAAATTCATATATAGTAAGTATCTAAGACAATTTTTTAAACTCAGTGCCTTTTGATGGAGTTGTTTTGTTTTTATACTATCCGATTGAAATGAAACTTTTTGGGCATTCACCTGTTAAGCTTGAACTCCCTGTGACTGTGACTACCTGTGTTGGTAACTATTGGTAACTCAAAAGATCTACATCATTCAATATATCGATATTTGAAAAAAAGTGAAAGTTTGATATCTGCAGAACAAAGGCACGAAGGATTTTAACAAATAATATTCGTACAGTAGAAAAGTATATACTTTTGGCAATCTTCAACATAATTTGGCTTTGGAATAAAATGTATAAGCACTTGTAAATATTTTGTTTTCGTATGATCTCTGCCTTGCTGAGCAGAAAACGACCAAATTTGGTTTGGTTGATACATTAAAAATGTATCAAAATACAAAGAATATTCATGCATTTTTATATCAATTGGAATGTCTACTATTTATTCTTACAGTACACATTTTTTGGCTTATTCCTAACCAAACGCTTTTGTCCCGCTAAATTTATCTTCCAACGCACTGTGCGCTCGTCCGTCAAATGCAAAAATAACTGTCACTGTCTAAAATCTTTAGCGCCAACTTCAACTCGGTCATCAGATGACGTAAAAAAACTGACAGTGCAGGAAGATAGGAATCGAACTATCCTTATCTCTATAGTATCCTTGGGCTATACGTGCCTCCCGGCGTCAATTTGTTTTTCAAACGTCACAAAAGCATTAATTTTTGCGACGTGATTGACAATATAAAAATACCATTTTAATTATAATTACTTACCAGTTACTTAAAAGGTATTACTGTGAAAATTTTCGAAAGAAATCATCGACTTTTTAGGAAAATTTATTTTGTGGGACAAAGTTATAGTTTTTCAAAAAATCGATTGAATAGATGGGTTAGCCCCTTGGGTAGCCAACACTTCAATTAATTTTCATTTTGAATATCTGATTTTTGCTTTGAATTTTGAATAATAAATAACATCATTTTAGAAGTACATAGCTTTATATTCTACAGGGTAGTCCGAACTGTATTCCGAAAAAAAATGTAAAAAAGTTCGTATAAATGTATGTCATAAAATGTTTAGTTTCGGAGATACAGGGTATATAAGTTTCTTATTTATTTCGATTTTTTTTACAAATAATTCATGAAGTAACGTCTTTATTTGGATAAAAATTGATGTTTGGGAGTTTTTTGACATGAGAAATTTGACTTTGATGTCAATATGACCCGTAGAGGGCGTCCCTGCATATTTTTTAACTGGTTTGAAGAGTAATAACTTTTTGTACGTATCTGTATAAAACTAGTGAGTAAAAAAATACAAATTTACAACGTTTTATACGTGTTGGCAATTTTTGTTATATTGCGGGCTCTCTTCAATCAAACTTCCAGTTCCGTGCACAATATGTTTATTATCGAAAAATAATGCCACAGTTTATTCCACACTATCTGATACGACTTCACTCCCGGCTCTCTCTCTCACGCGACTTCTTTTATTCGTCTTCGCTCTTTGATCTTGACTTTTTCGGCTCGTTGGACTCTTCCTCTGGACTCTTCAAAGGTTGGACTCTCGCGGCGCTCACTCAGAGATCACTTCTCTCGACCGTTATCGACGACTCTTCTTCAATTGCGGGTGACGGTCCGTCCGTCTCTCCGCGTTGGCTTCTTTCTCCTTCTTTTTCTACAGCACATTTGGAAAGGGGGGGGTCTTCTAGAGAGAACCGTATAGTGATCTGTGGTACATATAAAAATAAACAAAAGATATAAGGAAAATACAAATAAAACATAAAAATGTGTAAAAGCAAGAAAATCTACCACATACGTAAAAAAGGTCTCTTGGTAAAAATCGGTACATGTAATGGTTCTCGAAATATTTGGAATCGAAATTATCAATACCTCTCATCATTGACATAAATTAAACATGTTGACTAAATAATAGTTATTAGACTGAAATCATAAATTTGAAATGTTTTTCTGTATACTATATATTAGATCGATAGATTGTATACAGGGCTTTCAGCAGAAATTTATTCAAAAACGCGTTCTTTGTATAAATGAAAGATTCTCATTAAAAAACTTTATTTTACGTATTAATATACTTGAAACTGATATATTACAATACTACTATATTATAATAATTATTTTAAACAACATAACTTTAAATAACATAACTACGGAATTAAAAAAATATTAGGATTGTTATTTATTGCAAGACATAGGGGCACCTTGTTTGCTCACCAATTCCAATGCAACATAAACTTATTCTTCCGTTAACTTGTACACTGGGTTTGTATTTTTAACAATAAACTCAGGTTCATAAATAATTAGTAGGTACATTAAGATCTACAATAAATAAAAACTATTAATACAAGAATCTTTTGCTTCAAAACAGTTATAAAATACTCTTCCTCTTCATCACATTCCTCTTCAATTTCCTCAAATTCGCAATCATCTTCCTCATCACTACCATCAGGAATATTCTCTAATCCTATAATAAGAAAATGTTTCAAAAATCAATTAAAAACATCAATACTGTATGATTGAAGAAAAACAGCATCGCAGTGAGCCAATACCAGTACAATTTTTAATAATTTACTTAAAAAAGTTGTAAAATAATCTGTTTTGTTTTCTCAGGTAAGATTTCGACAGACGATGACAGAAGAAAAACAGATGACGTCCCATACCAATCTATTTATTTTACTAAAAAAAGTTTCTAATATTTTTTAAGTTAACTATGGATGGGTTTAAATATAAATCCGTCATGCGTCGTCTGTTGTTGTTTTTATCCAGTTTTATTGGTTTATTACAAAAATGATAGATCATATTTAAATTTTATTGGTTTGACGGAACGATGAACGACAAACGGACGCCGATGCGTATAAACTCGCCTTTAGATTTTTGAGGCTTGTCAAAGTCTTGCCAAATTATCTACATATATAAAATGCCAATGTTTATCTGTGTCGTCTCTACTGAAGTAACGAATTGCTCTAGAAAGTTGCTTTTTTTACTAAAAAATAGCTAATTGACTCTTCTAAAAACTGTCATCGCCGGATTTTTTGTTTTTAATTTAATTAAAAAAAATAAAAAGTATTTTCTTTTCCTGATGTCGTGGCGGATGCGCCAGGTTTCAACTAATAAGTAGGTTATAATTTTAGGGCGTTTGACATAAGTCGATACTTATGTCAAACACCCTGTGTTTTGGAAGATGATACATTTTGATTCGTGTTATTACGTGGGTTTTGTGTCTTTTGAAATCAAGTGGAGGAAAAATCGAGCGAAAATTAACTGTAGACCCTGATCACAGTTTATAGTTAATATTCGCTGCCCAGGCAGAAAGTCTTATACATGTCTTATACACCAATAAAGTTTGTATACCATTTCGTCGTAGATAAGTGCATCTCGTATAGTATAGTACAAGGATCGTATAGTCTGTCCAACGAGAAGATCCTTGACAGTGATAGATGTGTCTGTCATTTTAATTTCAAAGTAGTTTATTTTATTTTACAAAGAAATAAGTTGGTACAACTGGAACGCATAGCAGGAAATATTTAAAATTTGATTGACAAGATGACAAGTGCTGTGGACAAGTGATTACTTCAAAATATTGTGAAAAAAACTGTATAAAACTGAAAAAATGTAATCGAGTTATTTTATTTAATAAAAACGGTATGTGTTAATACAAAACAAACAAGAACAAGACACTACATACCAAAAAAATATAAAAAAGAACTATTATTTACTTTCAAGCTTTATAAAACTACCCGCATTTTGTAATATTCCACAGGAATAAATAAAACAACATAGGTAAATAAAACAAACTATTTTATTAATAATAACACCTACCAAATTTTATACCTTAAAGGTTGATTAATTAACTTTAATCTTAATTTTTTAAACCAGTACCTTTTGACATTATTTTTTCTGCAGTACTAAAATCCATTATTTACCTATCGTGTGATGTCGATATTTTACAGCTACTCAGTTTTTAGTATGTGTTTAGTTTGATCCTTCTACCATATACGAGATGCACTTATCTACGACGAAATGGTATACAAACTTTATCGATGGCAACTTCATTAGTGTATAAGACTTTCTGCCTGGGCAGCGAGTATTAACCATAAACTGTGCTCTGGGTCTACAGTTAATTTTCACTCAATTTTTCCTCCACTTGACTTCAAAAGACACAAAACACATGTAATAAAAATGCATCATCTTCCAAAACGCAGGGTATTTAACAAAAGTTGACACAAAATTATAACCTATAATTTGGCAAGACTTTGACAAGCGTCAAAAATGACAAAAATCTAAAGGCGAGTTCATACGCATCGGCGTCCGTTTGTCGTTCATCATTCCGTCAAACCAATAAAATTGAAATACGATCTGTCATTTTTTAAATAAACCAATAAAACTGGTTAAAAACAAGACACGACGCATGACGGATTTATATTTAAATCCATCCATAGATAACTTAAAAATTATTAGAAACTTTTTTTAGTAAAATAAGTAGATTGGTATGGGACGTCATCTGCTTTTCTTCTGTCATCGTCTGTCGAAATCTTACCTGAGAAAAAAAACAGAGTATATATACATATACTAAAAACTGGAGTACCTGAAAAATATCGCAATCACACGATAGGTAAATAATGGATTTTAGTACTGCAGAAAAATAATGTCATAAGGTACTGGTTTAAAAAAATTAAGATTAAAGTTAATTAATCAACAAGTGTTATTATTAATTAAATTTTTTGTTTTATTTATTCCTGTAGAATATTACAAATTTGTATTTGTACATAAGTCATATTGATAAATATAATAATAAATGCGGGAAGTTTCTTGAGGCTTGAAAGTAAGAAATAGTTCTTTTTTATATTTTTTTGGTATGTGGTATTTTGTTCTTGTTTGTTTTGTATTAATACATACTGTTTTTTTAAATAAAATAATCCGATTACATTTTTTCAGTTTTATACAGTTTTTTTTCACAATATTTAGAAGTAATCACTTGTCAGTCAATTTTTAAATAATTTCCTGCTATGCGTTCCAATTGTACCAACTTATTTCTTTGTAATATAAAATAAACTACTTTGAAATTAAAATGACAGACACATCTATCACTGTCAGGGATCTTGTCGTTAGACAGACTTATTAGCATAGACTAATGTCACGTACTAGAGATAGATTGGACACTGATATAAAACAAATGGGTCCGTCATTTAGAGCCACCTGGTGATCCGGAAGAAACTAATGGAGAGTTTTGGCATAACATAATTTTAACGTTCTGTTAGTTATTAACGCTAATTAAAACGGTAACGTTATTCAAGCGCAAAATTATTCCTTGTAAAATATAAAATAGTAAATATAGACTTTTTTACTGCCATTTTATGTTTTATTAGATCATTAGAAGTGTAACATAATTACAACAAAATTAAAATTATAAATACATACATTTTAAACACCAACAATAGATCACATAGCGCCTATTTTTTTTGATTTAACAACTAAATTATAATATAGTAAAAATATTATAGACTAATAATTAACTGTTACTAAAAATACTATATATTACCAACTATGTATGTACTTACTTATTTATTATTAAACTATTTTTTTATTTGGTTTATAAATTATTATTTCTAAAATGTCAAAATGACTTTAATAAAAAAGTTTAGTATCTAACACGAAAATCATGATCGACTGTAAATACCAGAATGCACCAAAGGAATGCACAAACTAATAAAAACACAAACTATAAACACAAATCCCTCAAATCCCTGAACTTTCCGACAAATCAGGAATATCTGAATTAATAATTATTTAAATAATGATTTAAAAATAACTTGACGGATCACCAACATTTTGTCAACTAGACAACAACTAGACCACAGACAGTAGTTAACATAGAGACTGTCATGTCATCTTCATAATATAAATTAGAAACCTGTACTTTAATGTCTTTTGCGCCGTCTGGCGATGCGGAAGAAACTAAATTTGTAGTTCTATAAAATTACCATTGAGTGTCTAGGGCATGCTTATTAGTTTCTAAGTTTTTTTTGAATGTGAGCGTTTACTAGTAATTTTTACTGTTCACTGATTTCTGGCTTTTACTGTAACATAGATATACAGGGTGGCCCGAACTGTATTACGGAAATTGCAGCAGCATATTCTGCAAATAAAAATGGATAAGTAAAAAAGTTCGTATAAATGTACGTCCAAAAATGCTTAGTTTCAGAGATACAGGGTGTAGAAGTTTCATTTTTATTTCGGTTTTTTCCAAAAAATTTAAAAAAATCGTAACTCCAAAATTACAGTAGCTAGCGAAACGCGGTTTTCAATTTAAGATTAGGAATAATATTTGCAACAAAATTTGTAATAACATTAAAATCAGTCAAAGTCGCAGTTTTTGAGATTAAAAAATCGGAAAAATTCCTTTACTTTGAAACTAAAAAAACTGCCTACCAACTTTTTATTAAAATATTTTAGTATGGGCGGCTATGCGTGCCTCCCGGCGCCATTTTTTTTTAATCATAAATTTTTCTTCGAAAAAATGATGATAAAACAGTTTCTGTTGAACTTTTGGCACAAAAACAATTCAAGTTTATGATTTCAGTCTAATAACTATTTAGTCAACACTTTTAATTTATGTCAATGATGACAGATATTGATAATTTAGATTCCAAATATCTCGAGAACCATTACTCGTAGCGATTTTTACCAAGATACCCTTTTACGTAAAAAACGTCGTAAATGTATATTTTTTTACTCAATATTAATATACAGATACGAACGAAAATTCTCGTATTAAAAAACTCCCAGAGACCAATTTTCATCCAAATATTGACGTTACTTCACAAATTATTTGGAAAAAATCCAAATAAAAATGAACCTTCTACACCCTGTATCTATGAAACGAAGCATTTTAACACATACATTTATACGAACTTCTTTACATTATTTTATCTGCAGAATATGCTGCCGAAGTTTTCTGAATACAGTTCGAGCCACTCTGTATATGTAGATATACTTTACCCGCCATTTTATAAGCATCATTGGTCAGTCTAACGTCTCTGAGATATTGCAACTTTTGATCCATTTCTGTAACGTCTCTGCGGTACATGTTTCCGTTCAGCACTTTGTTAAATATGTAAGCGATACCGTGTGGAACAGCGACAGATGCCATTACGATGATTACAGATGGCAGGATCTCGAACCACATCTATGCAAGAAAAAATAAAGTACCTAATTTAAGTTAAGTTACCCTTTTTTAAGTATGTTACCCTTTATTGCAAGGGCTAATCTGGACTTGAGGCATACTTTGGTTACGGCGCATCGTCGCCGGCGCGGCGCACCAAAATTTACCGCTGCTTTATTTCCATGTTTATTTCAAATAAGTTTCAAATATTCTCGCCCAATAAATGAGCAAAATGTATTCTCTTATCTCTAGGTGTATATTAATGTGAATTTTTAACCCTTTACAGGCTGATGGTCGCTAAATCGACCACTTTAATTTACCCAACTAATCAGTCTTGTGGAAGTGTATTATCGTCCAGTTTGTTTGCTATGCTTATTTCTATATGCGCGCTTTGGCCATTTAATCAACCATATCTATACCACGTCTATACGTTGGCCGAATTGGCGCGAATAATCAAAATGAATTTAGGTACCTACTCTTTTTTCTTAACATTGAATGATACATACAGTTTATACATTATATACATTAGATCATTACACATTATCTATTTGCCTTAACAGTCTTTGGTTGAAAAATCGACCACCAACCCCCCACTTCCTTGTTTGTTAACTTTTTGAAAAATGTTATTAAGAAGATATGCTCCCTTTGAGCTAGTTTATATATTTTAAAAAAATCAATTTGATCAAACAAGGAAATAATTAATTAGTAGGTACTGCCCAAGTTAATGCCAAACTTTTTAATGGCAATATTCACAAAAAGAGTAATATAAATATCCTACATTAGTAGGCAGAAACCATCTACTACATTCTTTTTCTCCCCAACACACACCTACATTTTTTTATTTTTGATTTTATGTACTAATAAAAACTGAAATATTCTGTTGACTTCCCATAGTACAGTAAGGTTCCATGTCGACAATAAAATACAGTAAAAAGCACAACTGGGCATAATAAAATGACAGCCGCATATTTCAGTGTATAGAAATGATGATATCAACATAAATTTCAAATTAATAACATTACAGGTACTTACTTTTAAATCAAAAACTAACGGTTAGTTGTTGAAAAACTGAAATTCACACTTCGCCTTATTTCAATATGACAATATGACATTTGACAATTTGACATACGTCAATTAATTAATCGATCTTTCAGTGTTGTCAGATCAATTTTAGTTTCTTTAATTTTATAGCTATCCATTTCTTCATAATCACTAATAAATTGCTAAAAAACACTGCAAATTACAGTTTATGAATTAATTCCTTTTTTAAAAAATCTACTAATTACTAATTAAACAAAGTAAAACAGAAATTAAAAATTAAGTAATGATAAATCTCTAAGAATAAAAAGATAAATATCTTTATTCTACTTCTGATTCTACTCTTTCAAAAATACGGGGTGCGTCTCAAAAGTTGCTCTTCCTTATAAGGCCAGTAAACGTAGCCGAGTATTATATGTAAAGGTGGAAAAAATTAGTAACCAACCAATCTCAACGGAAATGTGTAGATAATATGATCTCCTATTTAACCTTAAAAAGTCCCATTCGGTCCCGTTGGGGAAAGTTTGAAAAAAACCGCCGCCATCTTGGATTTTTTTTTTCAAATATTTCCGTTTGCATAACTTTTTTCGAAAAAACTAAAGATATGTTTTCTGTAGAGAATTAAATTTAGAATATTTTACCTTTAATCATTTTTTTCCTAAAATAAATAGTAATAGAGATAGACCAATTTTTTACAATATGTTTTCTAAATTTTCCAGTTTTTTCAAACCAATCAGCTATAATGTTTGCGTTAACAGTATAGTATTAATATAGATAAACCAAGTATAAATTTAAGCTTTAATACAATTGAAAATAATGTTTAAATATTATTTATTAAATAAAATTATTGTTAAAAAAAATATTATTAAATTAAAGTTATAAAATAAAATCTGCTATGAAGTCATCCTGAGCGTCATTTTCGTTCTCAACTAAAATACAAAAGTTGGTGCAACTGATTCCGTAGCACTGATCACACTTTGAAGAACATTTTAGATCCAGTTTTCTACAAGAGCAACTACCTTTTTGATCTTTCTTCCATCCATATTGTTGCTGTGAAAACCATTTTCCATCAGCATATATTGTTTCAGGTTTATCTTTTTCTTGTGATAAGTTATTACCGTTACTTTCTTATTATTCTCCAAAGCGTATTTTCATTATTGGGGTTAAAAGCTACATTACAGCATTGCATTGCGCTCGTGTAAATTACGTAGACATTCGGTCGGTTAATCTCCGAGAGAGAAACGGAAAACATGTTTGAAAATGACTTTTTTGTGTCGTTAACGTTTCTAACCGCAGGCGTAATTCGATAAGTAAATTGTAACCAAATTGAAATATTATACCAAACAGAGACTATTAAAACATATAGAAGAGGATACCTCCAATATTTTTGGGATGTAATTTTTTTTCTACCTAAAATTAGCATCTTAAGACTCAGGGGCGCTGGGTTTTATAAAACCTCGTGGGTGCTCATCAGATATAAGTAAATGTAATAAATTTCCAGATTGTTACATTTGTTGTATTTAACACTTTTAAGACACACTTTTTACATATGTAATATGTAAAAAAGTGTTTATGTAATTTTTACAATCCTATTGAGTATAATATGAGTTATTTAGAAATATATTTTTAGTGCAGATACCAATTTGAGAATATACCGTATGATGAAAAAAACTGCGTCAGCGATGGCTGTGAAATAAAGATCGCATTCATATGTCATTTTATACGTAAATTTATATGGGAAATGTCATTGATCCTCATTTCCTGAATTTTCGTCAGCCAACTAAACGCCGTTTTTTTCGATCATACGATATTAATGATACCCATTACAATCGTGTAAGGGCAGATAGCAAAACAGTCAGATACTGTAGTTTATATAAAGATACAAAATGAATGAAGTTAGAAATTGCTGAGAAGATAGTGGAAGGATATTCGGGATTGGACAGCTTAGGGTTTCGATCAGGGTTTCGATAGACAAATTTATCCATCAAAACTAAAAATTCTCGAAAATAAACACAACATACTCCAGGTTTTTTGTTACCGATTCTGAACATTATCTGGCAGCTTTATAGGACGGAGCTTTAGGATGGTTCAGAATCCAATAGCCAAATAAATTTTTGGCATTCCTAAAGTAGTTGAAAATTCGCTTCCAATTTATAACAATTACAATTATCATATATAGATAGATAGATATATAAACTCGAATCTCTAAACACTTTTAGAGCCCACACAGACTCAGATTAGCTCAGGCTTAGTTTAACACAGAGGAACTGTGTTGTCCAGTTTGCGTAGGTTAACCTGTACTACAGCCTGCAGCACACACCTAGTTTTATAGTATAGTTTTATCTACAATGAACTGAGTGACGCACTCACTTCACCACATTTTTTCTAAGTGAAAATGGTCTCTCGAGATACAGTTCTGTTTTGCATTTTACTGGCTGGTGCAATAAAGAAAGGGCAGAAAAGCAACGATTAGTTAATAGAAACAAATGGACAATGGACCAAAGATTGGCTACTTAAAGGAAATAATTATTCCCATGTCAATTTCCTTGCTGATTTAAAAGTTGCAAAACAGGATTGGTTAACTACCTAAGAATGGACGAGAGAAATTAGAATTTATTTCTTCGAAAAACTACAGTAACCATACTGTCACAGATTAGACTGTAGTACTTTTTCATGAGTTCATCGCGCATCGTGCATTTACCAAAGGACTTTCTACAGTTTTTGAGCGACCTCTTGCCTTGCAGTGGGTGGATAAGCGTCGCTTAAAGTTGCTAAACTGATTAATTTTGGCGCTTATGTTCGTGGGTGCTATGCACCCACTGTTTTCTTCTCGTGGGTGCTAAAGCACCCGAGCACCCACGCAGTCGGCGCCCCTGTTAAGAGTCCATTTCACTAAGCGTTCGGCATATAACGTTTTAACTTGTTTATTTTTAAGATTTTGATGGTCAAACATCAACAAAATATTCCTTATGTTTGGACCAAATTTTCTCGAAAATAAAGACATAAAATTCCGTTACAATACAGAAATAGATTGAAGTATTGTGATTACAATGATATATACTTTATATGGTTTTGTAACAAAATGCTCGCTATTTTGTGGCAAATGCTAAAGCTCTGCAAACCTTAATAAAGCCTTAATCAAAGCACGACCTCTCGGTTCTGACATAGAATTTGTTTTGCCGTTTTTTTCTGTTGATTGACAGAATCTGCTTATTGTTTTGTCTCTCAATCCAATCAGCTGTAAATACATTTGAAGCCTGCTGCAATATCTCTTTAGTATTCCCGCTATATTTTTTTACAGTTTCCTGTCTCTTCTTATTAGAACTGCTGTAAATTGTGACAAGTGTTCTATTATGAACTGTTTTACCTGCCTCTAACCTGATGAATTTTTTCAGTATTTTAAAAATTTGATAAGATCGTATTTCCTTGATATTTTCATCTATTATCTAGGGACGTTCATATCCGTCTGAGGAAGCAGAGTCTAGTACGTTCGATGGTCTAAGCACTAAAATGATATCAGACCGGAAACATACAAATATTTTCTAGAGGAAGATACGAAACAACCATGTGGTCGTGACTGAAAGATAGCGAAATAATTTTAGTAAATAAAATTGACGGAAATAGACTTGCTTCTGTAGTTTCAGATTGACTACGCCCCACATATTTTGTACCGCATATAGAAAATTAATCCCTATAATATATAATATGTAGGTGAGTATTCATTTGACGGAAAATATTATTAAGTAAAATTAATCATATAGAATCATTATCAAGAAATAAAGTTGCACCTATATTTTTGCCGGAAAATCAATAAACTAAAAAGAAGAGAAATAGATGTTTCTTAAAAAAAAATGTTGTAGTTTTGTTAACATAACGTGTTTGTCTGGTAACGTAACGTATGGTTTTGGTAACGTATAGGGGCGGATCGTGAATTTGTGGGGCCCTGGGCTCAAACTACTTACGGGCCTACATAAGTACTCAACTAATAGCCATGTCAAAAAACTGTTTCTATAATGATATATTATTATTCTTCTTCTTTACGTGCCGTCTCTTTCGTGGAGGTTGGCGATCACATTGGCAAAATCTTCACGATTCTCGGCTTTCCTTATAAGTTCTTCAAAAGTTAGGTGAGTCCAGTTTCTGATGTTTCTCAACCAAGATAGTTTCTTCCTGCCGAGACCTCTCTTTTCTTCAATCTTACCCTTAACTATCAATTGTAAGACGTGGTATTTTTAATTTCTCAATATATGCCCTAAGTATGATGTTTTTCTTATTTTTATTATATTGAGCAATTCTCTTTCTCTGCCTATTCTGCTGTAGACTTCGGTATTTGTGATATGTGGATTTAAGTAACATAAATGTTACTTAAATCTACGCAAGTATTAGTTGTACAAAAGGCGACCTTATTGCTGTGGTAGCAATCTCTTCCAGGCAAACTTTGGGTGAGAGAGAAACCGAAATAGTGATATTTTATAAGAATATAAAAAAACAATAAAACAATTTTATTTATTTACTTATTATGAATTAGTAAAATAAATTGATAGGTAGTAGTCACAGAAATTGACAGTTATTTGGTCATCACATTCCAAGTCTTTAGTTAGATCACAATTTATGGAAAGAAGTGATAAACTATTTAGTCGATGGTTAGACATTGTTGTCCTATATTTATTTTCTACATAGGACATCTTGGAGAAGGAGCGTTCTGCTTTACAGCTAGTGATTGGCAATGTTAAAAAAATCTTTAAAATGGTATAGCAGTTAGGGAACACGTTAATAAGTTTATTTTCATACATGAGCATAAAAATGTCACTGCAAGAGGTGTAAGACTCAGACATAGATTGGAGTAAGTATGATTTTAATTGAATGCACTCATTCACTAAATGCTCGTCTACGTCATCGGGATTGTAATCAATAATATGAAGTGTAATTTCCAAATCTATGTTTTCGATATTTTTGTCTTGCAAATCCATTAAAAATTTGAATTTCTTGCTATATGTCTCATAGACTTGTCTCCTTTTATTTAAATCCATAATCAGCTTATCCAACGCAACTTTTAACGTGTCT